TTTTTTTTTTTTTTTTTTTTTTTTACTTTTCTTTTATTTTTTCCTCTTCTCGAGGCATTGATTCCTGAAAGGGCGTGAATTCGAATTATTTTCTTAATCAAGTTTGTAATTATATATATATATAATAAGACTCAAACTATATAATAACATAAAGTAAAAAGAAAGGGGAATAATACAAATCATGCCCTTCACTGAGCATTCGTATTTAAGCTACACATAGTGTGCCATACATAATAATGATACACATGGAGATGGTCTTATTTAATTCAATACGATCATCCATTTTATAGTACAAAAAGTTGTAAACAAATATCCGTAGATCTCCCTAATTTCATAAACCCCATGTGCAAATGTTTCTACGTACTTATAACACCAACAACCCATAAATTATTTTTTATATTTTTTTAATCAAATATATTGTAATTTTTTTATGCAACAATTTAATTTACAGTTTTATTATCTTTTACACCCTTAATTCAATTTTTTTTTTTTCTTTTTTTTTTTTTGGTGTTTGCAGGGTAAAAAGGGTAACATAAGCACGTGACAAAAAGCTGCAAAGCAATCAATCTGTTTGACCGAAATACTTTTGCGCTTGTTAGATGTAAATGACGTGGGCCCCTCCCAGTTTTTCTTTTCCTCTTTTTTCTTTTCTTTTTTATCCCATACATTCACCGACACCTCTCCTTCATTTTAAAATGACACGTGTCAAAAGATAAAAAGATCATATGAGAACCTACCACTAGATCCTACATCAAGTTGAAAAGAACGAAGGTCAGCGAGGTCGTTCGCCCCAAAAGAGGGGTGAATTGAACGAAAAATTTCTTGTAAATGTGTGACAACCTCTTACTACTACACCCATTTTAAAAACCTCGAGGGAGGGGAAGCCTGAAAGTTAAAGCTCAAAAAAGATAATATATGTTAACTCCGAACTCGGTTCTTGAACCACATCAAAATCAGTCCTCTAGTTATTGGTTGGCACAAGGTGGTGTACCCAAACGCAGTCCTCTAAAGTGGAGGAGCTTTTAGGGTATTATTGTTTGAGTGGTGGCAGGATATGGTTAAATGAAGGGGGCCATATTACTTGGTAAAACATATACTTATTTATTGCATTAATCAATATAATTACTACAAACTAATAAATTTTGGCTGCCATTTATATTTTACGTCTCCAAACATATCAACACATATATCTTTCTGTTTGTAGAAATAAAAATGTCAAATCCAAATAGTCATGATTTAATTTTTTAAAATTGTAGATACAAAACATGTTAAAATAATTCACGTTAGTCTTAAGAAATAGTTGAAGTGACAATGTTGCAGCGGACGCAAAATAATGTCAAAGCTATCAAGTGCCGAACCTAGATTTGAATCCTGGCATGTTTCGTTACAAATGGTATTACCTCTCCTAGTAAGTTTAAGGATGAACCAAGATTGAAGTTAGTGTGCATGTAACATTCGAGTAAATGAATGATGCATAAATAAGTTGTGACCACATCTTAACAAAAGCAACTAGGAGCATAGAATAACTATTACATTACTTTAATGGCTCAATTATAAAAACTTTATGTTTGAACGTATTTTTTTTAATGTAATTCTATACGGAGGGATGTGACATGACATAAGAAAAGCAGACAAATGTTGGAGATGTCAAATCAAGATCATTATTAAACAAAAATATAATAATCGAGAATTAAAGTATTGATCATACACATAAAAAGGAAAAAAAAAAAAAAAGGACCTATTTTTCAAGATGGATATGTTTTTTTTTATTTTTGTAAATTAAAAAAAATTAAAATAAGGGAGGGTATGGGTTGTCGGTGAGGAACCGAATCCTCAATTATTAGAAAAGAGGAGAGAGACAGAGATTATAATAAAATAATACCCAATAAAATCACCGGATCTCTTCTTCCAAATATCCTCCAAAAAAAATAAAAAAATTTAATTTTCATATATTTAATAAAATTTAAAATTTATAGAAATTATATTTGAGTATAAATATTTTTAAAAAAGAAAAAATAAATAAATAATCGAGAGTGAAAGGGCCAAATCCATCCCATCAAAGATGATATAATTGTTATAAAAATAGGGGATGCATGTGGTGAGCATTAGATACTCACATGGACACAGTCCCTCGCAAGTAATTGGGGTGGCACTGGCAACCACACTCCAACACCCAACTTGGACAATCTTTCCTTTTCTTTCCTTCTATTAATCAATCAATCTCCATAAACTATATATATATATATATATAATGCTTAAATTCAAATTCATATATTTGTTGGATTCAAGTAATTAATTGCTAAAAGTAATAAAGTTGAAAAAGTTGAGGGTATTAATGAATGCATTTAGAAAAAGGATAAAGAAGAAGGGTTTGAAATGCATGTGGGTGGTGGGTGGCTTTTGTTCCTTCACATGGACACTCCCCTCTCCCAATATTCTATGCCTTAAATCATTGCGTAGTTATTTAATCAAATAATACTTTCGCCTTTTTTTTTTTTCTTTCAAATATTCAACATGGGCCTGGGCCTAGTTATTTAATGGGCTCGTATGCTCTATTGAGACAAAATGTCCATTTTAAGGCCCCTGTCATCTCCATGGGCCCGTTCAAACACTTGTTTAGATGGGTCAGCTGCATTTAACGGGCCGAAAAGTTTGGGCCCATTTTCTGGCTGAATTTGTCAATTTAACTCCACTTTGCACCTAACATTCAAATGTTTTCCTCTCACAAAACTTTAATGTTTGCATAGATTTTAAGAATGTATGAATATTTTGAGCGATATGATTTGAAAACAACGTAAACCGTTACGAACCCTTGTTCTAGGTTCGTAGAGGAATGATTTCATGTTTTAGCATTGATGGATAGAGTATATAATGGAAATTTTTGGTAAGGCTGCCATATATTATCTTTGGATTCTAATTTTTTTCATTTATAAGTACAATGGGTAAGCTAGAAAGGAAAAGGCTAAGCTAGTGTTGTATTTAGGGTTGCCTTCTTTACTCATAAAACCTACCACAAAAGGATCTCCATTGCTGTCACCCACTAATATTCATTCATTTACTTCTCCATCTTTTTAATTACTACTACCTCACTTTCACCAAAATTTAATGTCAATTGCCATACATCTTAGGTTAAATCTTGTTCGTTCGGTTTAGGCATGACTTTATTTAATAATTGTTGAGTTATGATTGACTATTTATAAAGGAAACTCCTTGTTCATCAGGTTTATTTTAGTAACAATTTAGACTTTTAAAATTACGTCTTTATAAAATGTGTTCTTAATGCTTAAAAATATTTAAATCGCGTTAAATGAGGGATTGAATTTTTTTTTAAAATTAAGTAATTTTGTACACATTTTGGTGAACAAGTGGCTTTTGATTAAGAGATTTTCACTTTTACAACTCAATATTCAAACAACACTATAATATTTTTAAATACTTTACCCTAAAATATTATTACTCCTTTTTTTTTTTCTCCAAATCTCATATATTCCCCTAATAATTTGTATTTTGAATAACCAATATTATTATTATTATTATTAT